AGTTATGCGAGTTTATATTTTTGCTGTGCCGTGGAGGAGGACGACAACGAGCTTCTGACGTTGGAGATCATCCACAGATATGTGGAGCTCTTGGATAAATACTTCGGCTCTGTGAGTTGAGCCTTTTTTACTACACCTGAAGCGCCCCCCTCCCAGTCAAATTTCAAGAAGTTAGGGAAAACATCAAATTTTGGAATACGGCCTTATTTGCGTAGATTAATTATTTTAGCTTCCAATAATTTTACCCAAAAGTTATATCTTAAGATTAAAAAATACTGAATAATTTTTCCTACCTTCAGAAAGTTCAAAGTAATAATTGAATTAATCATGCCAAATTTCGTAGCACAAGGGTTATGGTAAATTTGACGTTGAGGTTAGAGCCGAACATAAATTTTAGAGTTGGGGAGAATTTTAGTGCATTATTCTTGAGAGAATTTGACGGGGTTTTTTTGAAAATTGTTGATTTTGTTGAAACCGTAATTTTTTTTTTTCAAAATTGCACAATTAATTATCATTGTTTTTATAAATATAAAACGTGCACTTAAATTCCGCTCAAGGGAACGAATAGAGGATTTATTTGTTACTGGCAATTTACCGGTAGTTTAAATTTAATAAAGATTCATTGTCCATCTATTTTTTGAATTGTCGAATTCAAAACCCTGGATTTCGTAGCAATTGTGGATTTCGTAGATTCTGGGGGTATGGTTTTATTAATGTAAAGTGTGGAGTAGAAATATTTGTGTAGGCTAATTATGGTCGTAGATGTCATTTTCCGTGAATTGAGTTGTGGGTTGGTGTGATTCAAGTACTGAAATTGATGTTTTTTGTTTGCTTGCAGGTGTGCGAGTTGGATATAATTTTCAACTTCGAAAAGGCGTACTTCATCCTGGACGAGTTGTTGGTGGGCGGAGAGATTCAGGAGACGTCCAAGAAGAGTGTGCTGAAGGCAATTGCAGCTGAGGACATGTTGCAAGAGGTTTGTGGTTTTTCTTATTTTGGTGGGTGGGTAACAGTGAGCCAAACAAGTAGTGCCGAATGTTGGGCCATCATTTTTATGGGCGCCAAATTGTGCCGGATTATTGAGTTTACCATCCTCCAACTAAATGTAAAGTGTAATAAGTAAAAGTATTAAAAAGAATATTCATTGAATAGATTTCCAAATAAGCATAAATTTTATTCATCGCAGAGAAACTTGGTCCATGAAGAAATCTTCAGTATTGCCCTTTATTTGAATGAAGGAGGATGGTAGACCTGGGTCCGGCACAATTTGGTAGGGTCCAACATTCGGCTCTACTTGTTTGGCTCACTGGAAAGAAGAGTATGGATTATTTGAATTTTGCTCATATATATCATATCCCACATTTTATTATTAGCATTGTGCAGTATTAATATTATTATTTCAGTGGTATAGTATATTCATTATGCTATATTATTTTAATGTATATTATTATATGCTATTTTTATTTTGGTTAGTAGTAGTAACGGAATGGTTAGTTTTTAATTAATTATTATATTATCATTGCAAAAGTGATATTAATCAATAGTTACTATCAATATATTTCTATTTAATAAAAATATATCTATATATTATTATTGAATTATATAAATATTGATTTGCTCATTTATTCCAGTGAGCCAAACAAATGGAGCCGAATGTCGGAACGTGCCAAATTATGCCAGACCCAAGTCTACCATCCTCCTTCATCAAAATGATTGACCTTGCGATAAATAAATTGTCACTATTTTTTTGCGAAATTACATCAAAATCATTTTCGTATTGGCCTCTAACCCACCCACTCAAGATGATGGTAGACCCGCGATCTGGCACAATTTGGCACATGAAAGCGGCCATCGAGATGGCGTCCGACATCCGGCACCATTTGTTTGGCTCACTGTTTCCCACCCAAAACAGTTCCATCCCATCCGCTGAAAAAAAAAAAGAAGAGAAAAAAATGTATTCATTCGTTTCCGAGGACAGCCAAGAAAAGCAACAATAATAAAAATTTATTTTTTTGAACAAATAAATATTTTTTTCTTTTTAGCATTTCAGTTAGGTTCAGAATTTTGATCGAGTAAGTATACTTTTAGCATTCTTTCTTCCATCGCAACTACTAAAAGTTGTGAGAGAACTTCGTTGCATGAATGCCCTTCCACATCAAAATTATCATTTCTCGAATTTCGACTGGTCTTAGTAGTGTACACCGTAGTGAAATTTCACCTACTTACTTAAAATTAAGGATCCGTAGTGTTTCTTATCCTGTCATGTCGTCCTTCGTGTGCATCACAGGAGGAGGCTTTAGAAAGCGCTCTGAGAGACGTAGGTCTTGTCTGAACAAGTGGAGGACACCAACTTCAGCAAGCAGTCCCACCATCCTTTTCCACGGAGGATATTTTGTTGCGCACTTATGTATATATTTTGAATAGTGCTATTTCTTCAATGTGCCTTGAATATGAAGAAATGGCTTTCAGGAAATCAGCATTCCGTGGCTCAGTGTCTCCATCAGAGTGATGCAGAATTTTGGCGATATTTTGACTGAGGGATAGAACAAAAATGAGATATGGATATGGAAAAGAAGAAAAAAAAACTGAGGTTTTCTTTACTTGCCTTGTTTTTCATTGATGATGATGATGATGAATATTTCTTTGCATTAATGGTACACTTCAGGGAAGCAACTCGTGTTTTCTGCTTTCTGTGCAGGAAGAAACGCCTCAGGGACTGTTGGAGGATTACACGTTGGGCTGAGTCCGGAAGCCACGATTTGTTCCGATTCCACTACCACTGTACTGCCTATCCATGGATTCCATTCCTTCTCCGTATTCTTGGCATTCCATCATGAGTGATTGATGTGTTGAAGGCATCTGCAAGCAAACCGGATGCGATTAAAAATGCACGTTTTAGAATCATTTTTCAGTCAATCAAATATTTTATTATTACCCTTACTGGAACAGAACATCTTTATTAACTTTTCTCCACTTGGAACTAAGTACTGTACTGTATTTGGTATCATTTCGATTCGAACTTCTGTTTGTTTCTTATTCAAGATATGTTCAAGTTAAGTTCGATAATAAGGACGACTCTGTTTTGCAGTACTGTATAAAATAATTTTGTAATTGATCTTCCTTGTATTGAGTCAACTTGTCCTCTTTGGTGACACTTTAAAGACGATGGTCCGGAAGAATTTGGATCGCTTTCAATCATGATGTATCACCAATTTTATTGTATTACCCTGATTATTTAGGACTCCAATAACAGTTCAACTCAATCCTTTAGAAAATGCCGCACTCAAAAACTGAAATTGGTTTTGCTGAGATTACAGGCTTGTAATTGATTTTTCTAAAGTTGAAAAATCAAGCTCAGTGAATTTAGTTGAAGACAAAAAAAAAAAAAACTTCGTAGCATATTGTTGGTGACAGACAATTATAATTAACATTTTCTTTTGAAATTTGAAAATCTTGTGAACTGAGAGTGTATGAAAAGATCAGTAATTGGAGATTGAAGTTCCTTAAAATATAGGGAAGCAAGAATTTCTCAAGAATTCAGGAGACCGTGAGATGTTGTGACATCTGATGGAGAGAGGAAAACCTTCATCGCTGATTTTCAAAATAATCACTAGATGGTGCTCCTGATAGACTCGTGCCAATGGTAAAACTAATAAAGTTAAATATGGGAATGCTGATTATGCGTCAATTAAAAACGACGTACTGTACCTCCGTTTTTGAATGCGTAAATCACGTCTTCCTGCTGCCGTGAAGTGGTGATGTTTCATGCCTGAGAATCCGCCGTCTTATTCTGCTAGTCCACCATATGAAGGCTGCCTCAATAACGAACACCCGCACCTGTAAAGATAAGAAATACAGTACTTTAAATAGAAGCTCGTTTGAATACATGTGATGGATGAATTGTCATGTAGAAGGAATTGCATGCAAGATGGATCACATACAAATGAACTGCAGCCATATAGTACAGGCTGTACAATCTTTGCAAACACAGCAGAAGCCCAAAAATGATATCAAGGTTCTTGAAAGCACGAATTTGAAGCAATTGAAAACGGTTTGGAATTTTTAATATGTATATACTGTATACATATCATGAAAATAAGTACGGTAGTCTCAAAAAAACCTACGGCAAACAATATTTGGTACACGACGTCAGCATCGGCGAGAAAATTGCCAGCGAAGGGTCGGTTACCATGCTAGGATTCCTATACTGTATATATACAGTATAGTGTACGTGAGATATCATACTCTCCACGAGGGAGTGACGCTCCAGGCTGGGAGTGCGGAGTGAAGTACCAGAGTACGCGCGAGGGGCGTTCAATAAATGTTTCAAACCTTGGGCATTGCATTGACATCCACCCTGGGATATTCCCGAAGAATCCGTCATCACTGCTGTTCAATGCCGAGATGTAAATTGTCATCATCTGTTTATTACTGTACTGTATATGATAAGGAACTGCACAAGTCAAACTCAATTTTCAAGCCAATTTCCCCACTTTTTATGGGCTTTAAATACCCCCATGTGGTTATCCAACTCATCTCTGGGAATCCCAGAATAATACAGACATTCAGTATACTGTACAATATCCATAATCCAAAACTCAACAAATTATTCAGTACTTTTAAAGAAGAGATCCAGCATGTCAGTCCTGTTCATATTTTTAAAAATTAATTGTCTAAGTAGTATGGTTGTTGCTATTGCTTCTTCTGTAATCGTACAGTACTTGAATAAGGATGGGGTGAGATCATCATATAACTGACATCATCAGCAAATTTGTCATGAAGAATTATTATTTAAATAAAGAAATCCTTTTTAGGTGCATATATAAAACAATGATATGGTCACAATTATGTAATTTGGATGATAAGTATTTACTGTATAACGAATGTTTTGTCACTATGCAAAAAAAAAATTCAGTAGTCGCAGCAAAGCTGATGGCTACCTACAATATTCTGTAACGCGAATTCACTGTACTGCAAATACTCGAGTTGGAAAATATGAATATAACTGTTTGATCCTGAAATACCATTATAAAAACGTGTTCACCCAAATATACAATACACTCAATTTGATTTTCAAACAAACAAGCA